TTAAATTGTTACTCTAGAGTGTGAAAGTGATTATTTTTGCGTTAGCTTTTTTATACATTACATTATTTATACACATTGCATGTACTTTTTTCTCTTAGCCTCTACGTTGTCATTTTTAACATATATTCCAGACACCGCCCATGATTTCAAATGATCGATCTCTTAGGTTTATAAAACTTTTCGTCAGCGATTATCTATAACCCTGTGACCAAAAAAAAACATTAGGGCGCGAGTATTTTGGTTACCACAGTAAAGTCAATGAGTGAAGTAGCGAGATACACTCAACATCCAATGCGCTTCAAATGACGAGATGTGGTTTTATACACCTCGGATAGTTCTCGGGACTAGACCAAATGTGACTTAATTTTTGAACAATTTAGACTATTTCTCACGTTTCAATATATTAAAAAAAACTTAATTAAATATTAGACTATGTATATTGCAGCAGAAAAAAATATTAGGCGCCGGGCAGCGGTTTCAACATAGCGCGCGACTATAATACTTCCCTTACAATCACGACCTTAAAAAATAAATGATAACAAGTTCGATTCCCGTGTTTCATGTTCATAATTGTAATTTCAATGTAAGAATTATATTCTCACATGTGGTTTAATTATCCGATGTGGTTTAATTATTCTCTGCAAAATAAATTATCCATACATTGTGAAATGCAGAACGGAACGTACATGGTGTGATATGCATGCCAAGAAACTAATAAAAATAAACGTTCAGAAACAAAATAAAACTTAAATTAAATGGCAACAAATATCTGTAAATTCAGTAAGTTCTGATGTGACAATGTTCAACTGACCAGGTTATCAATTAAGTGTAGACAGAATATTGGACTTTGGTCATTGATAACAGTGTCAATTTAGATATCAAACGGAAGAACGCTACACGTGTGTCAATACAGACTGGGTGTGTAAATTTAGTTCAGACACAACCACCAAATATATTTAGGACATACCAATATTTGTTCCAGGAGTTGATAGTTATACCAGCTGGCATGTTATTGAGCAGTTGTGCGTGTTCCTGCAAAGCATGTTTATATGCAGTTGAAGTGAAATCTAACTTCTTGGATTCCATTTTGAGCCAACATATGTGGTTCACTTCTTTGTATCTCCTGACCACCCCCATGCAGTAATAATGGTTCAGCCGCATGTCATCACTGATTAACGCAGTGTATATAACCATGCTGCTCTCAATGAAGCTGTAGTACTACTATGTTTATGTTGGATTACTATATGCAACACAGTGTATTTGTGGTTGTAATATTTCTGCCTGACATTGGATTACATTGCTGCATTTTGTAAACGAATTGTGTGTTACTCTCGAACGAATGCATAAGTATATGGGTATGGACAGGGGAACTTATATTCAGTCAGTTACTTTATTTGTTATTTCGTGGGCAGTTCGGTTCTCTTCATAACAGTTTGGAAACGTTGTTTTAATTTTGCTCATTAACAATGTGTTTCACTCCCAGTGCATATATAATCGATCACATTGTCTCTGACATTTCTAGACATTTCCCTTTTTTGGCTCATTCAATCAAAAATAGTTGAAATGTGAAATTTATAAATATTTATAAAAATGTATACCAAACATGGGAAGAAAGGATAGAGGTCGCCTTCGTCTCTTCGACAGCATTTTATCAAATTTAAACGCATGGATTGTGTGCAGAACGGCAGTGTATTACATGAGCTTTAGACAACATGTGTAAATTGTTATGGAGACAACAGAAGGACGAAATAACAGTAAGGCCAATTTATTAATTTTACTAAAAACTTTGCAAGCCAGATAAATGTTAGGATTAACGGGTTGTTGACGTTGGATCGACTTTATCTACGACTGTGCCTATGTTTTGGGCATTGCATCGACGATTAATGATCTGTGGATGGCGAACTATTTTTAACTATCGGATTATAAGGATTTATTTCGGTGATTCCCGTTGCAAAAAAATGCCAAGCAAATGGTAAAGAAAACACATGGTAAGAGCAATCCATATCATCCTCGTAGATATAGATGGCGTAGCCGTAGAATAGAGAGAGTGTGATTGAGAGGCGCTTTTTTTATAGCTTGCTATATAATTGTCCAAACAATTTTCTAGGTTTAATTAAAGTAATATGAAATAAATAGACGAGGTTTCTTGTATTTTACGAGTATTAACACGAATACGACTATTTAAAAAAAAAGTTCATCGTCTTTACTAAATTTTGGCTTACCATATAACACGTACATTTCGACTAAGTATGGAAATGTTGCAAGTATAGTGCACTAACTAGCTATTAAATTGCTTGCTGGCGAATCAGATGATATTGTCTGATCGTCTTTAATAAGGAAGTTTAGTAGTGTGTTGTATTTGCTAATGTGTGTATACATGCTGCACTGAATTGTATTTGACTTATTTGGTTATTTAGCTTTGAAATACTTTGTCAACTGAGCTTTTCAACTTTAAGTTTACAGTGAACCATGCATTTGTAATAAAGTCAGTCAATAACAGAAATATAATTTGAAGTGTCATTTTTCTCCTCTGCCTCGTTATCCGGCTCATAAGGTGTACATTTGTGCATGATGCGTTTCTTTGTGTTTGAGGACAGTTTTAATATACATCGCTAGACTGCACAAGTTTGCCCAATATGGTCAGAATAATTGAACTTAAAAATTACCCAATTTCACTAAATGTATAACTTGTATTGTCGGTTCTGAATCAGATATAGATACAGGCTCTCTTGCACTCGGATCCTTACATTAAGTTTTCACGTTTTATACGTAATACACATAACATTTATTGTATGGTATTATACTTTGTATGGAAGGATAAATTAAACATAATAGTAGTCCAGATCACTGAACAAAACTTAATGTCGCTCATAGAAAAATCTGGAGCCACTTGTTGAATGACTCAAAGTTGAAATTGAGATCACCAGTAGAGTTACATTCATGCGACTACTTTATATACGACACTCAGTTGAAAGCCTGGTGTACTTTCTGAATGACCGAGATTCAAAATGGCCCAGAGTTGTAAATATAAAATACCTTGCTGAAATATCCTAAATTGAAATCACGTGTTCACTCGATAAATGATCCTGATTTTGAAATTCATGTTCTCTGAATGAACTCACTAGAGTTGAAATCTTGTGATTTGCCAAATGACCCGTAGATAATATACGATGACTGAATCTGAATTATCTCGATTTGAAAACCAGGGATCACTATTTGCTCCAATGCCCACCAATGGTATGTATTTATAGTTCCACTGTACATCTTGGATGTACACATCAGATAAACAGGATTTCAAACATCCATGACATTAGATTTATTCAACTAATTCAATTGCGATATGTCTAGTCACTTGTTAGTAATTCACATTCTGTACAACATATAAACACATTAATTTGCAACCAGGCTTGTGTTATCCTATATGATTTTTGCATAATATGGGGAAAAATACAAAATTTTTTTTTTTTTTATTTAGATTTTTAGACAATGTACATTTAATAAAAAATATGCAAATAAGGTAATTAACATGCCTGGACATTTACCAAAACTTGATTTATTTTGTTTAATGTTTGTTACAAATTTGAACGAAAACAGATTACGTCCAAAATACCACGTTTTCCAAAAACCAAGATGGATGCCAGTCGGCCATCTTTGATCAGATTATGAAACAAACTGACATGGACTTGTAATCTGAAATGTACAATGTATGTGAATGAAAATGGTCGAATACCCTACGAGACATAGTAGTATGATCAAAAAGCAAGATGGTCACCAGTCGGCCATCTTTGAACCGATTGTAAAACAAATTGTCATAGACTTGTAATCTGAAATGTACAATGTATGTGAATGAAAATGGTCCAATAGCCTACGAGACATAGTAGTATGATCAAAAAGCAAGATGGTCACCAGTCGGCCATCTTTGAACCGATTGTAAAAGAAATTGTCATGGACTTGTAATCTGAAATGTACAATGTACGAATTCATAAGTCCCTGTTTCGAGCTTAGTTCGAAAGGAGACTAATAAAGTGTTTATGACCAAAATAAATAAGTAGGGGACATGGGGGAAATTGGTGATGCTGTACATATATCATTATGAAAACTTGTCAGTTTGGTTATAGGATGACTGATGATTATTTTTTGCATCAACATTTTTAGGCCATAACTGTGTCATATAAAAAAATAGCAAGCTACATTTTTTTGTCACAAATTATCTGCATTTATTTGTCAAGTACCGTCCCATATTTTCCAAAAAAATGTGTGGTGTCTTTAAATGTTTTCGGTAAGGAGGCGAGAACATATCCAGTATGCATAAAGTGAAGTAACATTTGTTTATTTGATTATCCATCGAAACATCCGATACTCAATATTTCAACACTATATCATGAATTGTACTTGATGGCCTTATGTTCAATGAAATATATTTATAATCATCCAAATATAAGGAAGTCATATACAACACAAAATTATATGCAAATATTCAAAAAAAAATCATAACATTCAACTTGGCATCATTAAAAAAACAAAGCATTTGGTTTCTCAAAAAATATATATTCCATAGATTCTCATTCAATTGAAGCTTCAGTTTTACAATGCATAAAAGCATAGACCAATGCAGCTTAACAATGTTATATTTGAAGTACAACTACAAAACTATACACAATACTGAATTTCAAATACAACTATTAATTAATATTAATTAAGCCAGCTTGATGGCAATAAGGATTGTTTAACTACTATAAAAACAAATCATGTTTTGCCAACTCTCCAAATTGAGTCGGTAATACAGGCGCTGCACATGCATATAACGAAAGTTATCATACGAACATAATATTGAGAAATACTCAAATTTAACTTTTCTTCAAGTGTTCACTTCTTCCAAATCAACAATTGTATGACCTTTATGTTAGAAATCAAATTACAGAAATGTATTAAAAATGCCTTCCAAATATTATTCAATTATGTTTGATCTTCAATTAAATTTATTTGGACTATTTCAAATGTCACATTTTTAGATTCTCTATGATGCATTTAGAGACAGTCGCTGCAGCTAGAGCTGCATATCGGTTCCATCTGCCATGTTTATAACCAACTGAGTAGTTACACACACCCCTCACGAACATACATCCTTTGGAAGGAATGTCAGTAGCAGTAGCGATGCCGCTGTTTTCCATCTCAAATCCAATAACATTTTCAGTCACAGCTAAATAATCTCGGACTTTTGTATTTCGCATTGCACTGTTTGTAGAGGCCATTATTCCGAAATGAACTTTTGGTTCACCTGGATGACGT